GCATTCATCAGATGTATCACCTGGGTCTACCTGTCCTTATAATCATTATGCCATACATTTGTGAAATCTAAAATAGTAGGCACTGAAATAAAAGAATGCATAAGTCTTAAGAAGCTCCCCAAGATTTTGACAGCACAGTAGAACACAGTGTCCAGAAACTGTGGATAGAAAAGCATGTCTGGATATTAAAGAATATAGAAACAAGGAAGAGGGTGTTGATCTAAAAAGAATCAGAATCAACAGCTGTGCTATTCCCTTATTAGGGCCAACAAGAAAGGTACAATAGGATGTTAAGCTTTTAAGATCTCCAGAATTCTTCCAGGCAATTCTTACAACAACAACAAAATGGGGAAAGGAAGAACGGTGAAAGTTTAAAAAACATCCAGCCTGGAGTTTTGCAGATTAAAGTCAATCTTAAGAAGGAAATAGTAGCTTGATGTTAAGGGTGCCCCAAACATGCATATTTCAAACAAATTATAAACAGTTGTGTTCATTTTTCTATAATAGGTGGGAGTATAGCAAAATCATTACAAAAATATCCAGAATCCTTCAAATTTTTTTGTAGCAGACTATTATTAGTGCTTGAAATCAGATGCAAAATCAATCCAAAATGTTTGTTTTGCCTTCCAAGTGATGGGGATGGGTTTCAAAGATCTCCCAAAGCTCTAAATTTCAGCCACATTCCAAGCAACAGACAAGGTAGTTAAAACAAAGCCAATGTCCCTCCATGCATCTCTCTCCAAAGAAAACAGGGGAATCAGCATTCCAGGTTTATTCCCTTCAGGCTTTTCCATCAACTCATCTAGGCCTTTACCTGGGGAAATCATTCCCAGAGAAGCAGTGGAGGGTCAATAAAATACAGACATTGGGAGTTGCATCCATGCATTTTGTAGATTTATCGTGTGCCTGGGTGTGAATGAAACTTCCTGAACATTCCAAAGAATTATCCAAAGCAGCTATGTGTGTTAATATGTGTCTCTGTGTGTATGTATGTATGTATGTATGTATGTATGTATGTATGTATGTATGAATTCTACATGGGTCAACCAACTTAATGTAAGAATTGAAAATAAGTGGTTTGGAGTTCCCTTCTACCTCTCTTGTTCAATAATGAAGAGACATTATAAAATACAATTCATATCAAAAAGCCAGCAAATGTGAATCATGAAATCATGAACACACAAGCCTCCATTCAAAACCCCACAGCCTTATCAAACCCACACTCATCATTTCTGTGTTTCCCAAAAAAAAAAATAGGACAGTCTGCATTTAGCCATACGAACTAGCACCATTGAAAAGGCAACCCTATATGCATTCCTCAAAGTAAAGTGCTTTCAATTTAGCAAGGTAAATATGTGTAAGATTACAGCCTTGCGATATCTGCTATGAATTCCAATCTATTGAGGACAGTGGTTTGCTTCTAAGTCAACATCTATACCTCTTCTTCTGAATAATCTTGTCTGTAGTTTGGCCACCTAACTATTCCTCAATAAAATTAATGGGGCTTTTTTTCTGGGTCTATATATTTGAGGATTGTTGCACAAAGGCTGCATCTCTACCCAAAGATAGCATTATACACACTTCAATACTGCTCAAATAAATTAGGACCAGGAAAGGTGTTTCCAAGCAAAGATTAATCTTGAAGCTTCTTCCAATTAGTTGTTACAGTGTAATTATTTTCTTGTCTTAAATTAGGCTTTCTTCTGAACAGCTGTTTTGTTTCAAAAAGTTTACTCATGATCAAATCTCAATATTCGGTTCTCCATCTGAATCAGGAGCATGCATTCACATTTATTATAATTTGGACCTTGTAGCACTAAATTCAAATCTACTATTACAGAATTGGAGTTTTACCATCGTTTCTTAACCTGTATAAACAAGACCATCTACAATCAGAACTTCTTTTTGCTTATCTTTCCTCTGTAAACAGCAAGAGGTTTCACGTGGATGATAGCATAATACCATCAAGAATGGCATGGCCCCAAAGAAAATAAGTACCAGCCAGAAACTGCGGCACTATTTTATCTGATCTGGTAAGAACAAACATGATTAAAGTGAAGAAAACTGCCTAATGAGGAATGTGGCTATCCTGTCCTTACAAGGAAATTAATTCAAAAGGTGCTACTTTTCAGATTAATTATTTACCTTCGAGAAGCAAAGGAAGACATGTGGTACAGTGAGAGAAAAAGTAAAATCCACAGCTGGCTGATAGCTCTTAAGAGGATCACCCAAAATAATGAGCAAACTTTTGAGTTCACTAGGATTATTCATTAGGCTGAATGGGGAGGGGGATTTGGAAAACAGGAATGAGAAAATGGGAAGCTTGATTTTTGAGACTAAAAAAACCAGTTGGTCAGTGTTAAAATGTGGGGGAAAAGGAAAGGCTTACAGTACAGAAATACTCCAAGAGAAGACCCCCTGGATTCAAAACCAGCATCATCCAGGAAGGCTCTATTAAGTACTGTACTATAAAAATTTGGGCTGCAAGTGGGGCAAAGAAACAATGTTCCCTCCCTTTTGGGGTGAAATATAAAATGCAGCCATTTTATTGTCAGCTGATATGAACTTTGGGTAAAGAAAACAAAAGTACCTTGTATTTCAAATTCAACATGAAGGAATTTTGTTAATGTAAATTTCTCTTTCCTCGCCTATGGGACACAAATATTTATTTCACTCATTTAATAACATTTACCTATCTCCTCTCCATTCCCAACTGTGGCCAACCCCTCTGACACTCATGGGCATAGTTAGTATATTGTGTGGCATTCCTACAAGAATCTAGATTCTAGAAGACTATCTTTGAACAGGAAGTTCCATTTCATTCTGATACCTAAAAACCATCTTGGTGATATCAAAAACCTAAGCAGGGAAGGTGATCAACTTGAAATGGATTCTAATCAGTTATGCCTGTCTCCCATGAAATTCCCTTATCCTTAAAATCATCTGTGAAATTCTCCCCATTGCAACTTCTGGTTTTAAATCCACAATTTTGTTACACTTCTGTTGTAAAACAAAAAAATCCTGTACCTATTGACACTCAATTTCCCTTGTACCATCCATACGATACCCATTTTGGGTCACTGTTTCCTCTGGAAGTTGTTAATAAAATTGTATTAATAACATAACAGCCTTGCAGGATCTAATTAAAGGCCAGCTTAATTTTGGTAACTCCTACGATTTTAAATAATCCCCTAGGCCTAGGGCAGGCTTTCCCTGAATTCTCAGAGTTTAGGAGATGGTAACACAATACCTGAGAGTATTCAGCCTGATAAAGTTGGTTATTAAGCTTTCATCCACAAAAATGTACTACCTGCTTGTCCAATGATCTATTAATGTCAAAATTAGAGGCACCTGAATCTTAGATATGTACAGGATGCTCACACACACACACACACATCTGGAAAGCAATTGCTCCCAAATAGTGAAATAGACTACCCTGCAATGGCTTCAAGCAACATTTGGAAGCATGTCAAGCACCTCTTATTAATCAGAGACAGATCATCCTGACATCAGTGGCATAGGAACTGTTATGCCTTACTGGATGATTGCAAGCCAAGAAATATTGTGCCAGCAAGGCCTTTCTTAGTAAAATGTATTATTATAACATTGCACAAAAGCTTTAATGCTTTGTCCTTTCACAAGTGAGGAAAGGATGGCCTTCCAGATGCTGAACTACAATTCCCAGCATTCCCCCATCATGCTGGCTGGGACTCCTGGGAGGTTCAGTCCAGCAACATTTGAAAGACCAGTAGTCTTCTAGCCACTTTTAGCCATGCTTAGCTACTTTAGGCAGGATGCTGGCAGCTTCACCAACTCTGTTTTGGAAAGTGTGTAAAGCAATGTTACATAAACCCAGTTAGTTTGGTTTTAGCTTAGTGGATTGTGTGAGCACAGCATTTGTTCTTTCAAACCACGATTTGTGACATAGGATGCGGTACAAGCCAACCAAATGTAGTTTGAATTGCCATGCTAAAGCAACTATGCCATTCCAACAAGTTAACAAGCGAAGATATCTGATTATTATATATTTAGTGATGACACTTTAGTTCTGTGCTGCCACATGGAACCCTCTTCCTTGTCTTTCTTCCCCATGGAAATCAAGGCGAATCAAGGTCTTTTCTTTCAATGTTTTTCCCTCTTCATTTGCGAAAGGAAGATTTTACACTCTGTAGTTTCCCTGTGGACATTTTTTTTTTACAACGGCTTCTTCCGCCCTCCCATCACTGCAATCGTGATTAGTGACCAGGCTGGCTTACTTTTAACGCCACAGCTCTTCCGGCTCCCCTTCCCATTTTTAAAGGCAAAGTCCCAAGCGGGCCATTTTTGGGGGTGGGGGAAGGGAGGGTGGGAGTTTTTTTAAAAAATTGAAATTAAGCCGCTATCGCTTTACAGCAACCTAACCCTTGAACCCTAAAACCGTGACGGGGAAAGCAAAGGAGCCCAGGAACTGAGCCTTCCTTCTGCCTTCGGGAGAGGACAAGAAGCCCGGACGGGGTGCGGAGAGAGAGAGAGAGAGAGAGAGAGAGAGAGAGAGAGAGGAAGAGCGCAAAAGGTCCACACATGTACCTTAAAAAGCAAAACCGCGCGTGGGAGCCGAATTCGCGCAGGCACCAAAGCGTGGTCCGCGGAGGCTTTTTTTTCTTTTGGGGGGTGTGGGGGGGGCAAAGGAGAGAAAGGCAGAGACTTTCCTTCTATAATGAGGAAGGGGGGGGCAAGCCGGCAGAGCTCCGCGCGGAGCCTCGCTTTCTGCAAAAGCCTCCCGCGCTGTTTTTACCGATCCGCCCCAAGGCGCAATTCCCAAAACTTTGCGCCTTAGACGGCCAACTCTCTCCCAGGCTGCGCCCAGCCCCGAAGGCCCCACGCTGGCCGGGTGCTTAGGCCCCAAGCTGTCTCCCGAGCTCCCACCAACCACCTTCCACCTTGCCGAGCCGAGCTTTCCGACCCCGCTCCCGGATCCCACCATCCCCCCACCCACCCCACCCCCCTTTAACCCCGCTTACCTGATGCACGAAAACGTCCACGGGGGAATCGAGGGCGATGCCTTCCTTGGTGGTCATGGAGAGGAAGCCGAAGCCCATCCGCACGTTGAACCATTTACAGATCCCGGCGCCATGCAACAGCGGTTGGCTTTCCTCGTCCGGCCTGGGCGAGTCGCCGCTGGGCTCTTCCTCGCCCGCCTTGGCGCAGCCACCTAGAAGCATACACGCGGTTCATCAGTCGAGGCGAGTCTGCGCCCCTGGCTTTCCGATTGCCGGGGCGGGCGAGGTGGGGGCGCCCAGCCACGAGACGCCCTGGGGTGTGTGGGGGTTTTTTTGGGGGGGGGGAAGAGACCGGCTTGTCTTTCGGTTAGCCCCACAACACCTTCGCCCCCGCCATTCCTCGATTGCCCGGAGAGCAGCTTGGAATTCCCAGCCCAGCCGAGGCATCCTGACTCGGGTTCTTTTGAGGATACGCGCAGGGGGAGAGCCCACCCTTTCATCGTCCCTGCATGGTAGACCCGGAGGCGTGGAGTGGGGGGGGGAATCCCTAAACAAGATACAATCCCGGGAATTTGGGCTGGTGGGGGGGAACGGAAATATCGGCAACTCCCTTCGCTGGTCCAAATTCCAGAAGGTGGCAACATATTAAATATATATTTGTTGCATTTTCCTTCCGAACTTTGCAACATTAGAGATTGGGGGTGGGGGGTGGAGGAGAGCGAAGTGGATATTTTTAGGGGATGGAAAGGAGGAAAAAACAAAAAAACCCAGAATGCTCTTGTCCTGGGGCGTTTGGAAATTCTCCTTTTGAAAAGTTTGGAAAGGCTTGTTGAAGAAGTCAAATGCCAGAATGCAAAATGCAAGGGGGAAAAACAATGCAAGCCAGAAAAGGAAACGTTTTTCCTCCCGAAACCATTTGGAAATCTGTACGTGCGCCTTTTTTAAAAAAAATAATAATAATAACTCAATCCCTCTCTTTTTTTAAAAATAATAATAATAAATCTCCAGCTGCCAAATACGGCAAAAAGTTTTCAAGCTCTCTCATCCACCACCTAAAAGAAAAAGCACATGGCAAGAGCCAAGGAAGAGGATGTACTGCCCCCCACCTCAAAAAAATAAAGTCACAAAAAGAAAATTAAAGTAAGAAGCCGAGGTAGAAAAGGGCAAGTCTTTTAAAAACGCGAAAGGGGCAGGTTCAATATTAGAAGAAACCAGAAATATCTCTCGAGCGCAGAATTATTATTATTATTTTTTTATCCAAGCTAGGATGGACAGAGGTGAAGGAAAAGTGAAAGAAGCCGAAAGAGAAGGCGAGGGAGAAAGGCCTACATTTTATACAAGAGGAGAAAAAAAATGGGATAGGAAAAATTTCACTTAACCTGCAAACTGCTGGTTAGAAACAGACCCCATTCTGCACCCCTGATGGAAATGGTGGACTCTTAGCAGGAGCCGCTTCCCCTCCTCTCTGCCAGCCTTGCTTCGGAGAGGGTGTCACCGCAGTTCCCCAGCCCCCAAAAAATAGAGAGAGGGGAGGGGAGGGGGGGAAGAGGACAGGGAAGGGGTGGGGGAAGATTCTAAACAAGAGGAGGGACGAAAAAAAAAAAAAAGCCAGCTCCAAGGTTTGCTACATCTTCGCGGCAACAATAGCGGTGGGAGGGCGCGAGGCCTCCTATGGCTTCCCAAATTTCGGAGAGACAATAGAATTCCCCCAACGCCAAACCTTGCGAGATCTCCCCCCTGCCCGCCTCCTCTCCCCCCCTCCCCCAGTCTCTGCTCTCTTGTCTCTCTCTCTGGAAACCAAAAAATGTAACCTTCTGCCTCCCATCCGGCAGGCTGGAGCCGGGAAAGGGGGTGGGGGGGGGGAGAGAAGAATCCTGGTTAGTGTCAAAACTTTTTTTAAAAAAACCAAAACGCACACTAACCCAACATTCTTTCCCCCCCTCCCCCCCGCATCCCCTCAACTTTCGTTTTCACACGTTATCCATCTTGCTGCCTTTGGGGAACAGGAATGGGAGGTCCCTGGAGCCCGCCGGGCGGTCACGATCGGGGGTTCTGTTGGGTTCGGGTTCACGAGGGGTGGGGGGGGAAGCTGGCCGTGCGTAGCGGGTGGGCGCGCACACACGGACACACACACACACATACTCTTACACGTACACTTTTCCCACGTGACGATCGCACCCATCAATTTTGGCCATTCCAAGTTGGGGGCGGTATTTTTACCACCGCCACCCCGATTTTGGGGAATTGGAGGAGAGGGGCGGGTTTACCTGCCGTGGGAGGTAAGGAGCGCCTTCTCCCTATCCTATCCTATCCTATCCGGACTACTTTCTGCTATTGCCAAGAGACCGGGAGCTTCTCGTGATTGACATCCACAGAGACACAGGCGCCCATTGCCCTTGCCTAGCCCGTTGGGTTAGGATCGAATCAGCTTGATCCTAAACGACCTGTTTAAAAAGAGAAGCCCCTCCTTCCTTCCTTCCTTCTCCATTCCTTTCTACTTTTAGAGCAAGTTAAGCCTCTTTCTTTAGATGAGTGGGCTTGATTGCCGGGCCCGCCATTCTTTTTTGGGAATCTCTTCTGGTTGGTTTTGGGAATGGAAGGAGGAGGAAGAAGAAGGACAGGCTTGTCCCCCAATTTCCCTATTTTGTCATCCTCCATTATTTCGGGAGAGAAATAAGATCGCGGGTGCTTTTTTTAAAAAAATAAAATTCCCTATATTTTCTTTAGTAGGTAAATTAGAATGATCCCTGATTTATCCCGATGCATTCCCGGGGCAGAGGGAAGACAGAGTAATTTGGGAGTATGCATGCATTTTATATTTTATATGTGAATATATGATTGATAGATATTTCAAAGGGCTCATTAATGAGAATCCCAAGTAAATCCAGGCTGTGGTTGAAAACTTGAAAGTCCTACTTTGGTCATTTAGGAAAAATAATCTCCCAATTTTTTTTTCTTTGCAAATAGAACGATCATTTAAAAAATTAGATGAATTCTCTCTGCCTCGTGCTATAAAGACGAGGTGTAAATGTGTAAGCAAGACATATTTTTACTATGAACATACTTCGTAAAATCTCTACAGCAGAAACTGAAAAAGTCGGATATGATGCGATTTAAGGCTGTAATTGGGAAACCGATCCATTATTTCCCCCCCCCCCCTAAGCTTTTACTCTCCACGGGAGAACGTTTTTAAATAATTTAGATCGAGCGAATGAAAGGTCTAAGGTCTTCGGTGAAAACTTTGAAATTATTAATTACATTTTAATATGCACTCTGAAGCGGTGTAATCGCAAAGACTCCTGCTTTACAAGGAAGAGGCTGGTCTTTATTTTTTTTTTAAAAAAAAATCAACTGGGATTATAAAATAATACTTGAAAAGTTATCGAAAGAAGACACAGTATTTGCTCCCCCCCCTTCAATAAAATCCTTGGCGGGGCTAACCAAGTTTGTTTATGTTCATTACAGATCTTGGCTTTGCAGGGCACAATCCGGTTTTAATCAAATCCTGGGGCGGGAGGGGAGAGGTGGCCAAAGCGATCGGAGCAGCCTCCTGGACTGAGGCTCCTTTGCAGGCAGGGGCGCTGGTGGATGTATCCTGATGTCTATATTATCTCGCCGCAGCTGCAGGATTGATGGGCTGGAGTGGGCGGGGCCCCCGGTGGCTGCTTAAAAGACAATCGGCTGAAATGAGAAAGGCGATCAGAGCACCAAAAGGCGATGATCGATGAAAGGGAAGGGAAGGAAGAGGAAAAAGCGTGCACGGGGGACGGGAGAGAAGCGCGGACACATTCTTGGGGAATGGGGAATTGGGGGGGGGATTCACGTCTCTCCTCCTAGCGTAGCTCTTATCTGAAACGATTTGGTTTCTTGCCTTCCAACACCACCACCCCGCCGCAAATTGAGGAAGGGGATTCTGTCTTTAGCCCACCAGAACTCTGGAGCTATTTGCGCTCCCTGCGCTCTCCTGTCCCCCTCCCAACTGATGTACATTTGGGGTTACATATTTTGAGCGGAAATGGCCCATTTGAGGATCCTGGAGGGGAAAAGAGCCAAAGGTCTAAAGTTCCTTCTTCCTCATCATCTTCCCCGCCTTTCCCTCCCCCCCCATCTTGACTCTGCCAGCGGAGGGGTTGCAGATGGGGCGGGGAGAGGTCATGCCTGATTTTTGTGAGGCATCTTGTGGTCTGGGGGCAGAAGGAGAAGGAAGGGGAGCTTCCCACTTCGCCTCCCTCCCTCTCAACCCCTCCCCCTCCTTTTTGGGGGATTGGGGGAGATTTCACGGCTGGCCGAGGACAATGGCCGGAGTGACCAGTACGAACTCGGGAGGGCAAATAGCCTCTCCATTTCCGGTGCTCAGTTCAAACTGGACAATAACAGCCAGCTATTTCCCTGAAGCAAGGCTGAACTCTTTAAAGGGACAGCAGCTTCGTCTTGAGAAACTTTCCCATTCACCCTCCCGTCTCTTCTCTTTAAATTTTACTCGTATACTGGTAGCGGAACTGGAGGTAAAAATAATTTATCAATATGCATAAGTCCCTTTGCATGTTGGATGCCTAAAGCAAGCCTGGGGAGGGGGTGCTTAAGTGGGCACACAAAGCATCATGCAAAGAGACTGGTGTTTGCCAAAGAAATGAAGGACCATTATTGACTTGGATATACTGACTATAAACTTATAATATAAAACTCTTATAATGTTAGTACGGGCGCCCAAAATCTAGGTATTTGCATAAGATAGTTGAAGAAGAGGCACTCAGAGAAAGAATACTCAACATCTATTCCAATCACAGCTGGTTTACAAATCCAGTACAAATCTGTAGTTTATATACATCATGCTACTCAAAAGAACAGAGCTTTTGGAAAAGCAAATTGATTAAGGGGTGTGTATATAAAGTTTTCATACATGTGTGTTGTTATTCAGCAAAACAATACAGTTGCATCTATTTCAGATACATTCTTTAATCTTTCACTATGTTTCTGAAAATGACAGGAGGGCATAATTTTTAGAGCTGATTTCTACAAAATGCTTTATCAATCAACTGCTTGGAAGTCTGCCTAAATATATGCTGCTCTTCATTTTTATTTTTTAAATAAAAACATTTCTTTGCTCTCTCTTGCTCACAATTACGTACATTTCCATTCAGAATTTTTTTCTGAATTTAATGTTATTAGAAACTTGATATGAGTAACGTTCATATATTAAATAATTTGAAGAGCACTTTTTTTTAAAAGAACACGCATACTTGCAGTTAGAATTGTAGAAATTTGCAAGATGGGTCGGAAGAAATTTGATCACATGCAAGCAAACATTAACATAGCCATTGCATTTAATGAAGCTTATGAGAGACTTCCTTCTCACATAATATATATGAACACAGAAACTTATGGACTTTTATTATAATCACATACTCTATTTGCTATCTTATTAACAAAGAACCTCATGTTAGACTTGTAGCTATTTAAATGTCTGTGTAGGCATCAATGTTGACTAAACTCAGTCAACACTAAATGTTGACTGAACTCAGTGGAATTTACATCCCAAAGAATGTACATGGAACTGGCCTACCTGGTGACATTATTAAAGAAAAATTGTTTTTTTCTATTAGCATTGTACATAAGGAAGATTACAGTTAAAATGGCTTGGTCTCTAACACCATCCTACTTCTGTTCTCATTAAAGCTCACAGATTATTATCAGTTTCAATAATCATCATATAGACTCCAGTCTTTTGGAAGTGCTGGTTAGTAGAGGTGCTGATGAGCTTGATAAAAGCTAGACTAAGCTACTCATCTCTACCAATAACTAATGGTTAAAGTTAAACAAAGGACCCAAGAGGGCCATTGCCCAATGTGGAAGTTTCTGCATTCACATTTTATTCTTATTTGCTTGGGTTTATTTAATCTTCACTTTTTCTTACTGTGGCTCACTCTGAAAATAGAAAAGATGCTGTGGGAATTTAAAGGGAAAGACATTGTCTTTGAAAAGCAATTCACATAATACAAGTGCTGGCAGTTAAGAAAATCAGTGTTAAATGGGATTGACAATGTAATGCACTACTCAAAAATCCTACTTCATTAAATACGGTCAGTGAACAATGTAGAGAGAATCACAGTTTCTATATTCCAGTTTCTATATTTTCTGTAGCTTGGCTTGTGTGAGTGTGTATGTGAGAAAACGAACAGTGTTACATTTTGAGTAAGGATGGGGGGGAAAATAGATGAAGGAGTCACTTGAAATCTCACGCTCTGTCCAAGGTGCTGATCTGCTCGCTCGATTATGTTCTTGTGCTCTCCAGGGTGCTGAAATATACCATGGTTACACACTGTCCAGGGTTCTGAGAGGGGAATTAGAACAATAAAATAAAATCACAACAAACTCTGTTAAGACTCGCTTTTTTCTTTAGTCATGACTTTTGTTTTCAATATTCCTGCATCCACATTAGTAAAGTTATTTAGCTCTGGAAAATGGAAAGGAACAATCTCCGGCACAATTTCAGCTTTCTGAAATAAACTGAACATGTTCTTTTCGCTTGTGATGCAATGAAATGTATGGGAAATGTATACATGGTACATCTTGCAAAGGCTCAAAAAAGAATGTATTATCTACAAGAAGTTAATCCACCCAAAATCCTTGGTTTCTGTGCATAAAGTTCT